ATTTGTATGTAAATAGCGTAAATAATCACCTACTGTTTTTTGTTAATTTTTTTTTTTGTGTCATCTAGCATTAGATGTACTTAATTTTTAAATCTTCCTATAACAACATTTTTATTATAAAGAGCCAATTTTTTAAAAAATTTGTATTTGAAAGTAAATGTAAAAAGCTTTCATTTTGTAACTCTTCCATTTTAGGGACAGTAAAACATTATCTGTATACTTAGCATCAAGATGAGACGGTCAAGGTTTCTAGAGCAAATACTGAGGAAAGAGTGCTTGGAAAATCTAATACTCACAGGACAGACTGAAGGCAAGAGGGGAAGAGGAAAACAGTGCATGGCATACTTAGTGATCTTGAGTAAACGGATGATGGAATAGGGGAGATAACAGAAATATTTATTAAGAGCTAATTAAGGGACAGGAAATTGTGGAGAGCCATGGCCGCCTACATCCTCAGGGGACACAGTACATAAAAAAGAAGACATTATGAGTTATAGGTAAAAATGTATAAATAATATTGGAATTTTTTTTAGAAATCCACAATCACTACTGGATTTTGATTTTTATAATTAACATCTGATTTAACGGTAGGCATTAATAGTTTCATCTGTTGTAATTATCATGAAATATCTCAATTAAAGTGTACTGTTTAGGAAATTCAGTCAATTGTTAAAAATTTAAATATACTTCTGGAATTATCTTTTAAATACAAACAATTAATTTCTATTCAAACTATGTATAGCTGGACACTTGTATTCAAGGATACCCATCTAATTGAGCAGTTAGCCTATCTCTATTACAGATATGATTGCTCAGGTGCATTTGTGTTTATTCAACACCCACAGAGCTCACTTGTGGTTTATATTACAACAATGCAGAGGAGACCTTAGTTACAGTTTCTGGGAAAGAGGGTGTTATCTAGTATAATCAACAATTTGAACAAGGCCAGTACACTCAAGCCCTTGGCAATGATGAATTGTGATTTTGTGCTAGTATAGCTATTGACATCCCACAAAGGTTCTGTCTACCCAATTTCCCTCACAAGGCTTGGGTCAACCCGCAGTATGGTTTTCAGGCACTTTCCAAAGGTGCTGCATGCTAGGATTGAGCCCCTCCAGTTTGATAACATCAGGAAGTTTCAAATTGATCATGGTGAGATTCAAATCCAAATCTAATGGTTAGAATGCAAACTTTCTAACCACTCGGCTATTCAAACTAAAGTTACAAAATTTAGTCATCTGATAATTGGTTATATTAACATTTACCAATTAATTGGTCATCAGTTTAGTATTTTTCTTCCTTTTCTTTCTGATTAGTCAGTTTTCATTTCATCCCTGGTTTAAAAATCATTAATTATTTTAGAATAAATTTAAATAATATTCTTCTAGTTTTTCATTAATATATTTTACCAATCTTCATCAGGAATAATTAATTTACGGATTAACAACTGATTAATCAATGCAAATTAAAACCTAATTCAAATATTAAATATAAAAACACAACAAACATAGAAATAGCAACAAAATTAATTTTTAGCATGTGTTTTTTTTTTTTAATTTTCTATACCGTATTTTCTTGTGCATAGTACGACCGCATGTATCTGAAGCTAAAAACAGGGAATAAATTACATCCTTGAGTATGATATGACCTTGTAGTAGAGCCATCTCTAGGTAAATTTTATTTGAAAAGTTGAACTATTATCCATTAAAATTTTAATAGTATCCATTAAAATTTTAATATAATCCATTAAAATTTTAATGTCATACATATATCTCTCACTAAGATATTTAATTTTTCACAATATTAAAGACTAGCAAGGAGCCAGTTGTTTAGTCATTGTGTTTCTGTTTTAAACATTTTTCAAATTTTCAGGGAAAGGTGCTAACAATACATACCTGGTAATACATCTTTAGGTGTTAATTAACCTATCATATTTTCCTGATTTTCCTGTTTCCCATGACTTTATTTATATTCCTATATATTAATAAATTATGAAAAAAAAAAAAAAATAATGATGACATATCTTTGGTAAACAGTTATCAACACCTGCCTATTTTATGCTTTATTATCAATTGTGCTTTCTGAGTGTATTTAGAAACTTATCGTTTCAAATAAGAGGTTTTTTAAGCTAAGTAACAATTTCTGAAAATATTTACTTGTGCATAATATGACCTTCAACTTTTGCCTTTAATTCTCATTCAAAATTCTTTGTTTTATGCACAAGAAAATATGGTATATTACACTCACTGAGTAGATGTAGATATTGTACATGCATATATTATATATGACCTACATAGATGTTCATAGATACAAAATATATCTCATTTACAATACTTACAGAAGTAATATACAAGGATACCAACATACATAAATATATTAAAATAGTCATTATATTCTCAAAAGAAATAGAAAGCTATTTGAAGCATGCCAAATCAGTACTTTTCTTCTAATTACCTTACCATTGTGATAATGTCACAAATTTCTTATTTTTCTTCAATTGAACTGCTAAAACATAGAATTAGATATCAATATACTCTAGACATATACACTAAAATAAACAGTATATTTTTCTTGATATATATATATATATATATATATATATATATATATATATAAAAGCACATTGTAGAATATTATAAATTCAAGAAAAGATACAGGGTATATGATTTTATAATATTTTTTACATGTAAAGTTTAATATAAAGTAAATAACAAAGATAGTACTTGTTTTTAATGTCAGAGGATATAACAAATTAACATTACTTTCACAAACAATGATATTCACATTATAAATGTGAATACAGCCCAATCTCTTTCTCTTCACTGAAAAATTTCAGAGACTCAAAATCAATTACAATAAAAGAAAATTGTCATGCAATGTAAAAAAAAACAAAGAAAAATCTGTAATAATTTATATGAAATACTTTTTTCGTTCGTTGTGTGTGCAATTGTTTATAGAAACAATGCAATTTTTTTCTTGGTCACACAGAAAATCTACAGACAAAAATATCAGTACTAGAATAATTATAACAAAATTAAGAGTAATTTATGTCAGTCAAACCAAATACATATATATTGTCCAGATTTTCAAATGAAGTATTTTTTTTTTAATAATAAAAAAAATCCATCCTTTTAATTATGTCTTCAATATAGACAGTAGGAATACATAACAAACAAGAAAATAAAATTTATGTCAATGATATTTTTTACTTTTAGACTAATTCCCACTTTTCAACCTCATATCAAATCTTAACTTATCAGGGTTATCCCCCTTTTAAAAAATTGATATATTTAAAAAAAAAAAAAAATGTACCATAGTTGATGGCATATTACAGGCAAAAATATTCCCCTTTATTTCAACAAGGAACATTCACGAAACACTAGTATTCCTAATAAAGAGAAAAACTGGCTTAAAAAATTACCTCAGATAAAGTGATAAAAGTAAATTTTTCACTCATTTTGTACAGAAAAATTCCTACCTGTTGTCAAATACAGTGTGTTAAACTAACCCCCGCCCCCACTAAATAATTCAGTATCCAATATCTTAAATTACAATACTTCAAATTTTAAAAGCAAAATAATTTAGCAGTTAGATATTAGAATCCTCACAAGCAAGATTTAAACTTATACCAACATATTGTTTAAGTATTAATGCAAGAGTATTCAATCTTGTATGTTGATTTCACTAATATTTTTCCACACGTTAAAGTATGCAGAGTATTCAATATCTTAAATTTGGACTTAATTTTGGACCAGTGACTTGAAGAATAGCAATATTTTATTTATATATATATATATATATATATATATTTCATATAAAAGTGGACACTGGTCAACATCAAGTAGTGACAGTGCTTTATGCAATCTTCAGGCCATTAGGTTCAAGCATGAAACAGACTGTCGCCACTCGGTATTGACCTTAATGTCCACTTTTATATCTACACACATTATCATTGATAGTGAGCACTTTTAACTATAAATATAACATACATTAAAAACTCTCTCTCTCTCTCTATATATATATATATATATATATATATATATATATATATATATATATACTTATGTGCATGTGTGTGTGTATTAAATACTGTATTTTCTGGCTTGGAAGATGCACCCTAATATTGGAAAGAAATTTTAAGTAAAAAAAATAGGTCATTCTCATACAACAACACATTCACTATGTGTCCCTCATATACTGGTGCTATGTATTGTTTATATTAATCACTTGTCCAATTTCATTTGTATGGCAATGACATACTAGTCAAGAGCAAAAAGGCTCCTGCCACTGCTAGTAAACAGACTATGTTTAAGCTTGTGGCTCCAGAAAGGTTTATAGTCTTGAAAATACTTGTAACAGTTAAGTACTAAGGTTACATCATATAAAAGGCTGAATTAGATAGATAGCTAACATTATATTGTAATGACTCAACATACAAATCCATGTCCCTATCAGTCAAGCCAATTAGGTGACTGTTCAAGCTTACTTGAGTCTGGGCGTTGCCTTACATTCATCTTGGAAGACACACACATATTTTTCAGGGTATTTTTAGGAAAAAAAGTGTGTCTTATAAGCTGGAAAATATGGTATATCTTAATAATATATTTATCTATATTTATGCATATTTACAGGTGATAAGAAATGATAAAAGTTAAATTTTTTAAAAAATACAGAAATTCTGGACTCATCATTTACTCTTTGAACTTAAGCAAACTTTTGTTTTAATGACAATATGTGTCTATGTAATGTTCACAGTATGAAATAAAGAAAATAATAACATGTTAAAATGAGAAAATTTACAACACTAACAACAATATCCAAGAATGAGTATTTCATGAACATAAGTGGCTTAGAAAATTTATTCTTGGCGAGATCTGAGATTACACTATTCACTATCATCCCTCAGAATTTTTGAATTCTTTACATGCAACTAATTCTGATAAAGAGTTAAATTGATGGTCAGCATCTGATACAGAATTTTTTAAAAAGTTAATATTAATTTAGACATTGTTAAAAAAAAAATAAATAAAAGAGAGAGAGGGGGAGAGATATAAAACTGTGTATATGAAAACATGTACTCAAAATTAGGTACCCTTTTTTATGTCTTTTTCCTCCTACTTTTTTTTCAATATCACGTCAATAAGAAAAAAAGTTCTTTGTGCAAAATCTTTACAGAGAAAGTTTTGTAAATATCACTTTGCATATACAGAAATGATGAATAATATTGTGATTTTTTAAATTTTTATCTTTTTAAAACTTGAACAAAAATTATTTCAACCTTATTCATAGTTGCAATCATTTATGCTTGCAATTTTACGTGGTATATGAATACAGATAACACAATTTATTTTACCTATAAAAATGGAATTAATCACATAAAAGTTTGTCATATCATTTAAGAAAGGGGAAATTCATATTAATACAGTGTGGTATATGTGTATGCGTATAAACAGAATAAAAAAAATGTTTAATTTTAGTGAAATAATGTAAACCAGTGATTTCCTATGCATAATACCATCCCTTCTTCTAGAGAGAGTGAATTACAAGAATACAAGGGATCAACATGGATGGATAAGATACGCAATAACAAAAGGTGATATTTGCCAAATTGAAATTTTTCAAAAACATTGATTCCAAGTTAAATTGCTTTATCTACATTTTGTGAATTATAAACATAGTTGAAATATTGCATAATTAATGTATTTCACTGTAAAGTTGAGTTATTGTATCAACATGTGTCTTTTATAGTACTGTTCCAAGTAAATATCTGCTATTACTACTTAGTACACATAGTCAAGCAAATGGTAAATAACTTGTTCTTAAATAGCTGACAGTTACAAACCATAAAAGAATGAAGTTAACATAATAACATAATCAAGCTGTTCTTTGCTGTCTTCTGCTGAATAATGAGATCTTTAGTCAACAGCAATACTTTCTTTTTATTTAACTATTTTTCACATTACCAGAATGAAATATACCCATACCACATTTCTATAAAAACAATTACAGTAAAATTTAATGACAATTAAAAATATATAAAAAGACCATTGTGTTATATTTTAGATAAAAAAAAAAAAAAATGGCACTGGACTAATTGAACAGTTGATAATTAAAAGAGAAAAAAAATTTGGCATTTGTGTCGCTTTTGTTTGTTTTTTGGTTAAAATAATACAAGAGGTTATATATTTTTCATACAAAATTGTTCCCCACCTTCAAAAAAAATAAAAAAATAAAAAATAAAAATCACCAACTATATATTTTTTACTTTTTTGGTAAAAAGTTATTTTATATCCCAACCTGCATAGAAAAAAAAAATTATGCACCAAGCCATGCTGGTAAGTCCACATACCAACTCATTTGCCCATCAATAGGTTGTACTCCCAGAACTGGATATTCAAGTTTATCTGTTTCAGAACTAATTGCATTCATAATACTGTGTTTTTCTTTGCCTGTGACCATCACGGCAATGTTTTGTGACAAGTTGATAAAATCCTTTGTCAATGACATTCGTTTGTCACCTCTGTTTGCAGAGTTTGTTAAAATTACTTTCCTCATTGTTGTGCCACGTAATGATGACTCGTATGGAAAAAGGGATGCAACGTGCCCATCCTTACCGAGGCCAAGAATCGTGTAATCTAAACCTCCATCGCCAAGAGCAACTGTAAGCTGCTTCTCATAGAGCAAGTCTCCTTGGTCAGCATCAAGACACAGAGATCCAGCTATTGACACTGGCATTGGATGAATATTTATATAGGGGATGTTGACATGCTGAAGTAGTTCTGTATACAACAGGTTGAAGTTGGAACGGTGACTATCCAGGTGTTGACAGCGGTCATCCACCAGCCAGACATGGGTGTACACCCACAAATGGAGAGGATAGTGCTCACGCAGCTGTGCAAGGAGAAGAGCTGGTGTCTTGCCACCAGAAAACCCAATGTGGAAGGATTTTTTTCTTTTAATCATTATTACTGCCTCATCAATGATGGACAGAGCAAGTTGAACTGCAATTTCATTGGTGGAATTTACATAAAGGGTCCCACCACGGAAATGGGAGGGGACTTGTCCAAACCTTTTTTCATCTTGCTGGATTTCTACATGAACTGGTTGTGTGTCCTCTTCTGTGATAAATTGTAACCTGTTGTCATAGACAAAGAAGTCTAATGAACTATTGCGGGTATACAACTTTGGCCTCTTGCTAAGCACATTCAAAACTGGCTGCCAAATATCCCACATGTTCAGGAGTTGGGCAGTGCCAACAAAACTGCTCTGTCTACCCTGAATGATATCTTGAACAACTTGACAGTAAGCATCTGACTCAAATTCTGGACCAGCCATATAGAATGAAGACATCTCAGCATCATACGCAGGAGGTTGTGCCCAATGTTTGGAGATTATTCCAGGTGGCCATGTTGGATTACCAAGGGTCTTGGTGACAAGAATTGAATGTTCTTTCATGGAGCCATAAGCAATGTGAAACACAATCTGTTGCAGATTTTGGCCTTCCGCTGGATAGGGAATGGGAAAAGTGTTTCTTTTGAAAATAATCCTTACATACGTGGCCTTTTCATCAAGTTGTTTTCCAGCAACTAAAATGAAGGGGACATTTTTCCACCGGGCTGATTGAATAAAGACCTGTGTTGCTGCAAACGTTGCAGTCTTGGCTGAGGATGACTTGTTGATTCCATCTTTTACAGCTTCTTGCATGTATTCCTTGTACTGAGCAAAGAGAATATTCTTGGAGTCCACAGGCTTCACCTGTTCCAGAAGATCAATTTTCTTACGTTGAATTTCTTCATAGTTTGCAGCATCAAGATGACTGGGTAACTCCATTGTAATGAGTGTAAGTAATTCTGTTAAATGATTCTGCAGCATGTCACGAACTACACCAACCTGGTTGTAGAATTTGGTTCGGCCTGTGAAATTTAAAAGAAGAAAAAATAAAGTTTTAGGTTTCCTCCAGTAAATATATTAAAAAAAAAAAAATTAAGTTGATATTTTATTTTTTACTACAATTTGTATATTTGTTGTGGGAGTGCAATGAAGTCTGGTTCTTGGTTTTATTATTTTTATCTGGCATTAGAGCATTGGACCACAACATGTTAAATTAATATTCATGCGCAATATTACATGAAAACATGAAATAAAATATGAACCATTTTTGTTGTGCATGCAACAAGATATAACATATTTATTAAATGATTGATCTTTGTCTATCTCTCTCAGATGAGGTATTATCATTATGTACATTATTCAGATTGTTATCCTTATCTACATTGCCATATTTAACATTTTGGCTATTGTACGCTCCTGCCTTCTTCAGGTGATTGGAATTTTGAACTGAACCCTTTATTTCATCCACCAAAACTGATGCATCCAAAAGAGACATGGCACATGGAACTAGAACAATCTACCCCAGTGGATGAAATAAAGGGTTTGGTTCAAAATTCCAATCACCTGAAGAAGGACGGAGCATACAACGACTGAAACGTTGTGAATATGGCAATGAAGATGAAAATAACAGTGTGAATAATGTGAATGATTGATTTTTGCCTAAACATACAATTAGTTACATAACTGATTCATATTATTCACAGAACACACACACACATTTTATATATATATATATATATATATATATACACACACACACACACACACTAATTTGCATGTATTAATGCAAAGAAAGAGATGGTTTTAGGCTCATCTTTATGGAGAGACATTTATCTAGTGAGTTCATTTAAGAAAACACCTTTCTGGTTCAACAGTTGGCGGTCAAAAAAAGAGAGAGAGAGAGAGAGACTGTATTTTCATGCCAAAACTGTCTTTCTAGTGTATTATGGGAATTCTACATCCCTTCCTTTCTATAACCTAACAAAACAGGGGGCGCAATTCTTGTTTTTATTTATGAGTCACAACACATTAAATATTCATTTTCCAAAAATTTCTGACTGCATCATAATTCATAAAAAATAAGAAAAATTACAGACAAAAATATTTAAAATTTTATGATTAAATGAAGGCCAATCATATATTATTAATATAGCCTATATAAACCGTTATTAATTCTTAACTAGTATTTCTTTCATTTTAATTTTACTTGTTTTTCACTGGAAATAATTAGACCATCAGTTTATGGTCATTAGTAAACAAGTAGTAATATTATCTTGAATTTCACTAGCTGAAACATTGCCAACCATTATTAATTCTTGACATACACTTACATCTGCTGCTTTATCAAACTAGCAGCTGTAGAGTGACAACCTCAATAAATTCAATGAAAAACAACTGAAATTAACATGAAAGAAGTATAAGTCAAAAATTAAAGAAAAAAAAACTTGTATTTAAGTGGCATAAACTATGCACAGACACTACTGAATACCTGAGAAGTTGACAACCCTATATTAAAATGACCAATAAATCAAAGAATTCAAGTAGTGTTATATAGTATGAATTGCTGTATTTGTCACATCTCCATCTAACAATTTAAATAAAAAATTATGCTAAATTACATGTTGGCAATAATTAAATAAAGTTCAGGTGTTTAGTGATTGGCTACTTCAATAATTAAATGTGCAAGGTTTCTTATGGGAACATTTTATAGTATATGTAATAATTGTAGTGAAAAATAATACATGCACAAAATAAATGACCAATTGAATTATTAAGCAAAATCAACAAAAGGAAAGTTTAAAACAAGAGTTTCTTTTGTTAGAAGTAAATTGCATACGCAATGTAATGTTCATGAATATATTCAAGTGGGACTTACTGTGTTAGTGTATTTTAGTGTGAAGTGTTCACAACCCTTTTAGCTTCAGCGTAGAAGATTTATATCACAAAGTTCGAAAGAGGAAAACCCAGAAGAGAGTGTTATTTGAAGATTCATGTGTTTTTTAAATTCCAAAGCTGCTACTGATACAAGTTTTATTTAGGGCTGCTACTGCTACTATGTTTACAGGCTACTAATGATATTAAAGTAGCAACAACAAACATTTTTATTTAAGTAATGAAAAAATATTTTGTGTTAAAATTTCAGCAATGAAATGTTGATAATCAGCATTGCAGTTATTTTCATGTTGGAAATCCAAAAGTGCATGAGAATAAAGAAAGATTCCTTTCAGAAACTAAGCAAAGTGTTAAGAGATACAAATATGTCCTTAGATACAAAGAAAAAAGTGCTGGATAGTTATGTAATAGCATATCTCCAATATGACAATGAATGCTGGATATTCTCCTCAGAACAGACTTGAAGAAACAGCAATGTGGCTCTACTAACAAAAGCTTAGATTATCATGGATAGAGCATGTATATAATGAGGAAATCTTAAAAATAGGAACTACAAATAAATACTTACAATCAGAACGAGATAGATGAAATTTCTAAGATACATAATGAAGAAAGAGGGCCCAAAATAAATACTAATATATCCTGTGAGTGTTAATTTCAGGCCCTCTTTTAGGCAAGAGTAGCAGGAATGAAAGAGTGAGTAATATACCTAATGAGTTTGAATTAATAGATAGCAGAACAATGATAAGCAGGGGTAAGTAAATGGGGTCAAAAATGACAAAAAATCAAGGAATCATGGAGAGTTATGATCACCCTCATCCTGAAAGGAGATGCCATATAAAAGAAATAGGAATAAACAAACCTTTTACTCCTAAAATTTCTTTGCTGACCACTTCAACTCTGTCAACATGGTGTCTGTTAAGAATATGCTCCAACCAATTAGCATTTGCAAACCTGAAACAAAAAGAAACTTCCATTTATCATGTATAAACTATAATGTCGACATAACTTCACTATCATAAATTACATTACTACTCATGGATCCATGAATGATTCAGTTAAGAACTAACTTTTTTTTTTTTTTTAAACATGGACACATGGATAAATAGAGGTTATAATGGTAATAATAAAAGAAGTTTAGTGGCAAAGAGCAAAAAAAGAGACTGATATTAGCAGAGAAAGATATGCAAGAAATTTTTTTAATATAAAAGCTCTTATGCTCTTAAAGAAATAGGTTGTAACAGAGTGAGCATGACACCGATGAGACTTGTAAATCCCCCAGGAGGTGGATAATATTAAACTGTTCTGTACTCAGTGGATAATATTAAACTGTTCTGTACTCAGTGCATAATATTAAACTGTTCTGTACTCAGTGGATAATATTAAACTGTTCTGTACTCAGTGCATAATATTAAACTTTATTTACTATGATCATTATTATTATTAGTTATTTCATCTTTTTTTTTTGTTTTGTTTTCTTTGGGGTGTCGGGTATACTAGGGGTGGTGCAAACAAAGTCACAAACCAAAATATGTTTGGTGACCATGAGAGTAAAACAAAATATCAGTGGTAAATAACTTGTTCTTAAATAGCTGACAGTTACAAACCATAAAAGAATGAAGTTAACATAATAACATAATCAAGCTGTTCTTTGCTGTTTTCTGCTGAATAATGAGATCTTTAGTCAACAGCAATACTTTCTTTTTATTTAACTATTTTTCACATTACCAGAATGAAATATACCCATACCACATTTCTATAAAAACAATTACAGTAAAATTTAATGACAATTAAAAATATATAAAAATGAATGATTCAATTAAGAACTAACATTTTTTTAATGAAATATATCGTAACAGGGTTAGCGTGACCCTCCACCTGATGATACTTGTAAATTTCCCATGGAGGTTTAAATCAGTAGATAATATTAAACTGTTCTGTACAACTATATAAAATCCCAACCTCACCTGCTTCATCCCTAAGTGAGTTGACAGGATGGATGAGAAGGATAGTGTCAACTTTGTTACTTAAAATTATCCAAGTGCCAAAAAATAAGAATACTTATTTTAAATACTATACACTCCAACTCCCTATTTTCTTACAGAAGAAAAAACTGACAGAAAATGTAATAAATTATTAAGCAGAGCCAGTGAGTATTACCTACCAACCAGGGTGGGGGCAAACCTGATTGCTATATAAATGTTGGTAGGAAAATTGAAAAAAACAAATAAGATAGCAAGGGTCACAAAGCACTGTGCCTCTTGCTATCTTACCAATATTTATATACATTACAAATTAAACTAAAAAAAAAAAAAAAAAAATACTGACTCTTAAAGGATGAAAATTTTTTGCAGATTTTGACATCATTCTAGGATCTTTCTTCTTTCTTGTCCAAATTTGTGAATTTGTTTTGCTCATGCAAAGTTTTGAAAAAAACATAAGATAAAATTCACTACTTTTTATCCATAATGTTGAATGTGTTGTATTATTCAACATTTTAACAAGAAAAATCTCAAACTGATGTTAAAATTGATGCAAAACATTATTGATTTAAGATGGAATGATCTATTATGACATGTCTCTAATTTATATTTAGATACATTGTATTTATTTTCAATTTTTCTAGTTGAAATTGTTCACCTGTGTTTCATATGAGTCATTATTATACATAATTAGGTTACAATAAAATTTCTATTATATATGAAAATTGAGATGTAGCAGAGTGGCCACATCCCTGTATCATAGATTGGGGGAGAGCACAAAATCATTGCATTGTCCCTGCTTTTAAATGTCAACAAGTGGGTATCTAGCTTTTGATCAATGGATGTATTGTGTTCATATCCAAGCTATTCTTATTGTAAGTAAATGGAGGGGATGATGAGTGTTGTCAGAGGTAAATCATAGGTATGTCACATTATAACCACTGCCTGGAGTCATGTGATTAATTTCTGCATGAAGAGGGAAACTTGAAATCAACACACATACACGTTATCTGCCAAGAAAATATTAATAAATGAAAGGCAACACAATTTCTCCCCACTTATTCTCATGTTCCAGGGTAAGAGCCTGAAAATCTAGGACTGCTACAGATATTGGCTGCCTCAAGACTCAGAGAAACTTATTAATATTTTCAGTCTATTTGTGACTATCATAAATAAAAGTGTTGTTGGAAATTGAATATTAAATACAGCTGTTTTGTTGAAAGTCAGATGTAGTTATTCTTTATCACATAAAATGTCAGGTACAGTGAATTAATTGAATCTGAAGCATTGCCACCAGAGAAATAGATGAACTTACTTATTTTAAAATTAAGGGATTTTTTTCAGCATTTCTATGAGCTGTCTTTGGAACTATTATAGACAAGTGTATGGTTGCAAGAAAGAAATACGACAACAGCAGAAATAGATTTAGATTTCAACAGGAATGTGTGGGGTTTGGGACAGCTACCTTGTAGTAAAGTTCATAAGCCGGTTTCGGATCTAGGTCGATCTCTCATAGTAGTTCACACATGTTGATGGTGGTTGATGCTCTCCTGCTGCTGATCGCTCGGCCCGACCGTGACAGTCTGTTTTGCGGCCACCTGTGGACTGCCTGTTGAACTTCCGTGTGACCCCTTTTATAGCGTTTTTTTATGGCTTAACAGGCTAGAGAAATGAAGCGAGTATAATTAGGAGGGAAGCATTTTTATTGGACGAAAAATAGAGCACTTTAAATATTATTTTATTTTTTGACTGGAACACGCGTGTCGGGAACATTTGTAAAGAAAGATAATGGTCATTTTGTGACGGGGCTTTGTCCCGTTCACATCCGGTTCTCATTCTTGAGTATTTGCCTGTAAATCAGCCGAGATATGTCTTATTTTATTTTATTTGGCTTGGGCATTATTCCAGTGAAAGCCCTGTGCAACATCCTGCAAAATAAATGAGTAATTCTTGGCAAAATCTGCAATAATCATGACTGCACCATCCAGCAAAGAACTTTTCTTATTAAAACAAAATCTTAACTGTTCTTTGACAATGAAATTATTCTTCTTCAAGGTTTGAAGGCCTGCATGAAAAATTTCAATAAATTCCTCTGTAGATTGTGATAGAGTTTGCAGCATGGTTCTATCAGTCAATAGACACTGTTTGTATATCAAATGAAATTTTTATTTAGAATTTCTTCTATATGTAAAACAAAATCTTCCATCAGATTGGTACAAATTGAGCAGTCACCTAAGTAGCAGTTAGATGTTGCTTCATTGTATGTAATAGCAACTAAGCATTGGTGGTAATTTGTTAAATGATATTGTTTACCTTGAGTCATTGTACCAAAATGAGACCCCACAATCATCAGTTTCATATTTTGATGTATTGTGCAAATGCAAACACAGTGTGTTCCTGTTGTGGCCTGTTTAGAGGCTAGAAAGAAAGACATGGAAGATGAAGGTAGATTGAAACAAGTGTATTGAAAATACAGATATATACAAAGCAAGAGTGTTAGTAACAGCAGATAGAAGTGTACATCCGAACGGTAGGTTAACACTGTGTCTCGGCTGCTCATGACTCTACCCTAGAAAGTCTCACAGTTAGTATTTATGAGAGAAAGAAGAGTTCACTCTACTGTAGGATGGTTTACCACAACAGTTCCAGCACTACCTGTTAGGATACAGTCTTTTGAAAAACTATTTCTGTTTGGATTCTTTGATTTAAATAATTTGTATGCCTCTTTAATGTTGCAGAGTATAAGATATTTTTGTTCCTGAACTCATCTACCGTTCTTTAAGATAGTCTTATAGTTATTTTTTCCAGGCATCATTTTGATGACTTCTTCGCTCTTATAAAACAGTATAACTTCATCAATTTTCTCTTGTGGGATGGTAAAATTACAATTCCTTGTTCATTTACAAATTTTTTGGCTTGTCTTGCCATGTTGTGCTACCAAATTCCATTTGAGGTTTTTGGATATTCCAACTTTTTGGAAGTATTACCAAAATTTCTATTTCTTGGGATCTCTTTTTGCCAGCTGCAAACTTTTCTTTTGTGTAATAATTTCATTTTCATCAGATCTTTTGTGTTCTACACTGGTGGCTTCTAGGTGAGAAAATTTAGTCAAAATCAGTTTAATTTTCTTTGATACTGCTCCTTTAATTTTTGGTACTTTTTTTCTGCATAACAAGTTTGTTTTTCAAGTTTATGACACTTTTAATAGACAATTCATCAATCACTGACAGTGACTTGTAAAAAAGGTACAATTTATTTTAAGTATCTACAAAATGCTAGAAGATTGTGGCTGGTCTTCAGGTGATGTTGAAGTACTTTTAGAAAACCCAGATAATTTTATTCAACAACAGGTGTAAATTTTTTTACCAGGACTCAGTTTAACTTGATTGATTTTATCAACAAATTATTTTGGTATTTTTCTTAATCCTTTTTTTAATTTCCTTTATTCATTTTAAAAGGGTCACAACATGTTTTGTCCAATAAAAGTGTTGTTGATACATCCAGTTTAAACAAGTAAAAGCTTATCTCAGTCACAGTAAAATAATTAAATTTTATGAAACTTTTGTCTAAAAAAAAAAAAAAAGAAAGAAAGAAAGAAAAAAATTACTTTATGACAGAACAGTAAGTCACAACTCACCCTCCAGCTCCTACCATATGCCTCTGCAGATGACTTTTACAATTCTACTTATCCCTTTCTTTCAATGAGAGATATTTACACCAATTTACCATTTGTCGTATTTTTATAGTGATACAATTGTTTATTTCTTAAACATCCATCGTTTCTTCTTTGTTCTGCCACCGTAAGCTTAATATAACAAGTGGTAGTTGAAATTTTTGAGACACATTATGAAGAAAGAGGGCTTGGAAAATTTAACACTTGCATATAATGGAAGGAAAGAAGGCCATAGAGAAATGATGAGTAACCTATCTAATGAGTTTATACAGGGTGCAGCAGAAATAACTCCCACATAATGTTAAGACATTAGCTAGATGAAGATACCATTGCCACTAATGCCTTACCAATATATGGGAGGTATTCTGGGTGGGAAGTATATGTGGGAAATATTTCTGCTGTACCCTATATAAATGGATGGGAGAGTGGGAACAAAGATAGATGGTAAAGAGTCATAAGTTGTTTCAAGCTATAAAGGACAGGTTGTTGTATAGAGTTGTGATTGCTCATGTCCTGACTGTCCTTATCTAATAGGTTTAACACTCTTTTAACTTATCATCATAATTTAATCATCTGTGTTTGTGTGTGTGTGTGTATATATATATATATATATATATATATAAAATTTTAGTTTCATCAAAGGTCTAGTGTGTTCAACATGAAAATGTTCCCAATTTGTTTCACTTCCAGGTAATCATTGTTCCCTTTGGATTATGGCCATATCTTGCCAAAGCACTGGTTCTCACAAGATCACTGAAGTTAAGCAACATCAAGCTTGGTCAGTACTTATATGGGGGACCACTTAGGAATACCAGGTGTTTTAAGCTTGGATATGCATGAGATGTAATGGACAAAAACTTGAAATTGGAGATCCAAGTTTCAATCCCACTTGAGTCTTTTATATTCACTTACTAGCAGCATGGCCTGGCGCTGCCCGTGCTTGATTAAAAAATCGTACGACTCATACAGCAATTGCTATCACTTGACTTAAAATATTTTTGCCCTTCCTTGCCTTTAAAGGAGTGCCCTTTGCCGTGCTGATGTTGCTACATCTTGCCTATCTCACACTACAAATTTTTTCTAAGCTCTATACTAAACATTAAATCTGTTATGAAAAAAGAACTAAACAAAATGAACACAAAACGATCAGCTTTAAAAAAGGACTCAGAACTGGAAAAACCGAATGAAAAAAGAATGTTAACAACAAATACTTTTTCACACCCAACCCAGTTCTGCGGAATCAGAATCAACGTTGAGTTTAAGCAAGTGAATGAGCCAATTGGAGTAAAGTGCCATGCAGATTTAAATTTTTCCCACTAGTGATGAATGCAGCTATTGATTTTTTTTTTTTGCATGCTAGCATGCTAGTTAACATTCGTGTCAGTCAGCTGTTGGCTCTTACGCTGGCCAATAGAATCTTCCTGCCTATTCGGGGCAGCCAGCTATAGGCTCTCACTCTGGCCAGTAGAAAATGGCCACAAACTACATGAAAACTGCCGTAGAAGCATGAAAAAAATCAATTATTTCCACTATCAATGGGAGTTGGGAAATGCAAAGTTGATCTTGGCCTTACAGCTAACTTGGAGCATGTGCATGTAAATTTTGGTGCAAATCCGTTGAAAATTGCAGCCGTGCATTTGTTACACACATCCTGCCTTTTATAGATAGAGATGCACAAATACCATTGGGAAAGCAATGGGTTAAATAGTAGGACTTGTATCAGTAAATCATTATTATCTCCCAAAAATTTTTACCATCTAAAAAAAAATATTTTCTGGCTTTAAATAACCTGCAAGAGGTTGTTAAGCTATAAAACACAAATCAATCAATTGTTCATTTTGACTAACACTAAAATAAGAGCCTCCATCTTCATTTAATATGGCTGCCTTAGTTACAAATCAAGGGCCATAACTCCTGTTGGTAACAAGGGAAACACTCCTATTGTTGACAAAATAAGGGGTTTTAGGATCTAGTACAATGGTTCCCAATCTTTTTTCACCATACTCCACCTAAGCATCACAAATCCTCATGCACCCACTTTGACATATAATTCTTCTTATGCAAAAAGTGAACTCTTATTTATGTGGAGGAAGCCTAAAAGGTCATTAACTTAACTTTCCTTAAAAAAAATGAGACTGCATATATGCAATAATATTAACAATAATTTTAGAATTTTACAATATTTATAAAAATATTGTGTTACTAATATATATATATATATATATATATATATATATATATATATAGTCCAAAACGAAATTATTCGTACACCCATCAATTTTGAATATTTTTATCCATTTCTCAGAATCTAATGTTCGTATGATGCCAGGTTTTTATATGTTAATAAGCACAAAAAGAAAAAGAAAACTCAATTTTCAGAACAATAGGTTAAATACACAAATTTGACAGGTGAATTATGCAAAATAAGAAAAGACAAAATTATTTCACATACAATACATATGTAATTACACATGCACATATATACACACAAATGTTTTTATGTAAGCATACTGTATAGGCACTGTATGTATTAACTTACACACACACACACACACACTAATACACATTAGAAAAGAATTCATTGTTAATAACTCAAAATCAAATTGCCCCACATCTAGTACAAGTAACTAAATCATAGATGTTTATATATCAGGAAATATGGTACTTATTAGGTACTATGTTATCTCTTGTGAATAATCATATTTCTTCTAAGATGAGAGATTAACAACTGAAATAATGTGGGGGGGGGGAGAAGAAATTAGTAGATTAGTTAAAATAACCTTTTATAATTTTCCTTAAAATGACTTACCTGAAAGGGAGAATGTGTCTCACAATAGGTTTTTGCAGATAATGATCCACTCGATATATCTCATTCTCGTTAAACCATTGGGAGAGTGACTGTGCCAGAGTCTCTGCAGTTTTGCGGTCACTTCCAAATGGCTTTTCGAGAACCAGCCGCTGCCAGCTACCATGTGCAAGAGGCCGGCAGTATTTATATAAACTTGCAACAGTTTTTGGGTACGTATTTGGTGGGATTGATAGATAGAATATTCTTCCAGCAATACTTGTGTCTGGAGAGTATGTTTCCTCATCAAGAGACATCAAATGATTCAAATTCTCAAAGTCTTCCTCTGTTTTCAGTTGAACATATCGAATTGCCGTGATAAAGCGACGTTTGTGGCTTTCACATTCCATATTGTAGCAGGTGAGTGAACGGTCAATGATCTTCATCAGGACATCTTCACCTTGGGTTTTATTGGCCCTTGCGCAGCCATAAAACAAAAAATATGGTCCCTTGTTGGCAATGCCTTGCTTGTAGGCTTCAAAGAACCCATGCCACAAGTACTTTTTGGCAAGATCACCAGTGGCGCCAATTAGGGCCACACTAACATATTTGGCTGCGTTAACTTCAGTGGTCCAGTAAGCACAGGAAAATACAGTGAAAATAAATAAAGTGCATATACTTTTAATTTGTGCCATGGCTTTGGTTTACTCTTTATTGTTTGATCTGGAAATAAAAAATTAGAAAAATAAGTTGACAGTTTATTAATTGAAATTAAGTATTTTATAGCAAAAATAGTAATTTTGGAAAAGCACAATAAAGCAAAGGGGTCAGCTGTGGTTTTCAAGTCCCAGAAATGGTTTTCAGTTCAATTATGAAAGCATTATTTGTAATTAAGAATTTTAAAAGAAACTTTACACATTTCTAATTTAAAAATAGGGGCTTATATCTAGAAACCATGATGTAAAAAGCCAAAATTTCCAAAATGAGCTTAAATTTTGCATTTAATCCATTTACACTTCTTTTGGGAAATTTTCAGTACTAGCAAATGGAATCAATACCCTAAAAACATAGGAATAGCAGTTTAAATCCTGACTTTCTGATAAATACAAGGAAAGTTATGTCAAAAACTGATATTTGGTGCTTGGCATATAGTGGCAAAAGCTGGTAATGATTAATTTAACATATGAAAAGAATTGTGTATGTTTTAAATATCTTTGAGAAAAATTTTCTTACATTTTGCAGATTTGTTTTGCTATTTGGGAACTAAGACTAAAAAGGAGAAAACAAATTTTGTCTATAGAATTTTTTGTTAGCATTATTCAAAGATGAGGGGTGTCAAAGGCAAAAAAAAATATAGAAAAAAAATTGTTAATTTGACTGAATTTTGTGTTCTTGAGTGCTATAATCCATATTGGTCATTTTTGAAAAACAGTGGCAAGTTAAACCTTTTGTTTATAACATTTATTTTCAACAAAGTTCCAATGACTTTTCTCATAAAAAGAGGAAAAATATATCCAGAACTGATTCTTTAAAAATAAATGATTAAACATGTGCAAGTTTTGATTAACTTTAAAAGATCATAACTTGACAAATACTTGTAGTTAGGATAAACTTAGACCAGTTCTGAAACCCCGAGACTGTCTACTTACATTTGATATAACAAATATCACTTGAAAAATGTTCCAAAAATCTGTTCACTTGTGAGACCATCATGGTGGGGATGGAAAATGAATGTGTTCAGATTTCAGTTAAGATCCCTACTATTAATTTTGCATTAATACCGTTTAGAAGGCATGGATCCAATTCTCCCTGTGACCATGGTCTTCTCAGTAATATGTTATGCTGGCAGACACAGAAAAGAATAAACAACTGTCTGCAATTAACTTTACTAAAACTACTTTATCTGTTCAAGAAGTGACTATATCAATGATCAGCCATAATGTCTGCAGTCAGACCAAATCAGTTAATATAGATATCCCCAAATTAAATGATTGTTTTTTTTATGTTTTATCAACCTTTGTGCAAGTTATTTAAAGCTAGAAAATATTTTTAAACTGTAAAATATTTATTGGAGATAATAAAGATTTACCGATACACATCCTACTAATTAACCCAATACTAGGGAGAGAATAGGTGGATTTATACCTCTCTAAAGGTAATTTCAAATAAGTGATAATGAACCTGATTGGAATTGGAACACGGCTCTCTGGTTTCCAGTTCAGAGTCATTATCCATTATAACCCTGTACATTTAAGCTTACAGCACCTGGTTTTGTTTGTTTGCTTTGTTTTACGGCATATCAATCTTAATGGGTTATTTAATGTTGACAAAATTTTATTGTTGGTAATCTTTTTTTTTTTCAAAAATCTATTGCAGGTAATATTTTTCCAAAAAAATGTATTGCTGGTAATATTTTGTTTGTAATAATTTTCCTTTAAAAATGTATTGCCAGTTATAATTTTTCCTTCAAAATTATATCTCTGGTGTCATATGCCCTAGTCGACAAATAATTTATAATGCGATCATATGCCGACCAGGAAATATATACATTATCACATCTATGGAGAGATACGGGCTATCTCTCCCAGACCATGACAAATGGACAATTAGCAAACAAAAATATTTTAAAGAACACTGTTTGATTGGGATAATCAAACAGTAATCTTTTCCCAGGTTCGCTTCAGTTTCAACACGTATACCGATCCACAATTCAAGGATGAACGATAAGGCGTAATAAATTTTGGTATAAGAATTTTAACATGTACATATACACAGAATATTAGAATAAAAGAAAAATATAAGCATGAGTAAAGCATCCGACGACCAGAATCTCAAGACTTATGCTGGGATACCAAAATATGCCCAAATCCAAGTGGATTCGACTGAACCCGAATGGATAGAAAAAAATAAGTATGAATAATTACGAATGCAAAAATCAACACATAACCAAAAGACATGGGATAGGATTTACATATTTCTATTTTGACATGTGGAAAGGTGTATGTGAGAACATAGTTTATGGATGCATGTGTATCTTTCTAACACGGGTCCAAATATATAGTTACTTATCTTTATATTCAGTTCTCTTTTACTCATTGTCCTTTCTTTTCTCTCTCACGTTTCCTCTTTTCTCCCTTTCTTTTTCTTTACACAAGTTCAATTTCACACACGGTCCGGCTGTAACAGAGATATACACTTTCTTCCTCTCTCTGGTTTTCTCTTTCTTTCTTTCTTCTTCTTTACACAGTTCAGCTTGCAACAGAGATAAATACTTTCTTTTCTCTGGTTTTCTCTTTTCTTTCTTCAAACGCAGGCTGTATTCTCTGCGTACAAATTTCCTTGCGTCTTCTGTGATAAATAACTCGATTTATCTTCTTCAATTTGGAGTTAATGAACAGAAATACATATCCTTATATTTCTTATCCGGAGTTGCTTGGGATGAATCGGACAAGTTTGATCATTACCAAAATGAGTCTCATCTTTCCATTCATAAGTTATCAGTGCTTTGATTTCGAGTCTTGCTCCTTCAAAGACAAGACAGCAACTGACTTCCAAGTAATTTTCTAATTCCCACGTGTCCTGCGTTTTGGCAAGAATTCCAGTTCCTGCTGCTTCATGACCTTACGTCAGTCCCCTGTCTAGATTCTGTCTAGTCTGTTGCTACGGGTAATTGGGTCAGTCAACCTCTTGACTTGCTTTCCCAAAATGTCTCGAGACTCCCACGTGACCTCTTCTGTAGTCAGGCGGAGATTAACCTTAATATATGCGTGCATGCATATTTGGGCTATCTGCATTCGTCACACTGGTAATAATTTTTCCTTCAAAATTGTATCTCTGGTAATAATTTTTCCTTCATAAAAGTATTGCTGGTAAAAAGAAATTTTCTTGAAAACGTATTTCTGGTAATAATTTTTTCCTTAAAAATGTATTGCTGGTATTAATAACTATTTTTACACCTCCACAGCATTTTGACCCCCGTTTGGGGGGGTTAACTATTTGCCCATAGCTGGGACCCTAACAAGTGCTACCACCCCAGGTCAGAATGGACTCGGGAACACCAACAATTAAGAGGTAGTTCCACACTCCAAACAAATATTAGGACAATATTAGGACATAAACAGTACAGGGTGCAGCAGAAATACCTCCCACATAATACCATCAAATAGTGTTAATGGCATCTTCATCTAGCTAATGCCTTACCATTATGTGAGAGGTATTTCTGTTGCACACTGTATAAATATACAATAAATCTATTCATAGTCTTTTTATTAAAATGCTAATAAATAAAAGTTTGTTTTTTTATGACTAGAAGTAAGTCAGTATGTTGCCACATCTCAAAATATTTAACTACCAATGTTTTTTATGATAAAAGTAACAAAAAATGTGGTAACATTACACTTCTACAATGTATCCTTTCAAAAGCGCATATTTATGATTTATGAGATATGTTTAATCTTGTGTCCATGTTTCATAGAAAAACAAAAGGTCTGGTTAACTTAAAATTGCACTGATAACAATCTACTAGCAAATATATAAAAGTTGATGTACCAGAAGGAATAATAATTTGCTCTTTGTTAAGTCTTATCATTCTCTGCTCATTTTTTTTTTATTGTCCAAATATCCATATGACAGTAAAGTACTTCCTTGATTATAACTGGACATAAAATGATGAGAAAAATTAAAACAAAATGGAAATCATCAGAACATTTTTCCAGTTATCTGATCTAAACTAATCCTAATATTTAATCTCAGACAAGGAAAATGTTGAAGTTGATGATGATGATATTGTCCATGTCAAAGTTCAGCAGCTCAATACCCAATTTCTTTCAAACAGATAAGTTACTAAAATTTTTCTTGATTTATTGAAAACATTATATATATATATATATATATATATATATATATTAGTAAATTTTGGCTTTCCATAGTTTGGGGGAGGGGTAAAGGTAATAAAATAATTTATTGAAACCTGAACCTTGCCACAAGACATATAAAGCTCATTGATCAAGGATTGAGGTGGCACAATTAAATGTGAATGAAAGAGAAAGAAAAACAGAAGTATTTTTTCTACTACAATAAATTGTTTTGATAAACAATCAAGGTCTTTTTAATATAAAAATATTAAAAAGTTAAATCCATGATGAGAGCTCAATGTATAAATTTACAGAGCAATATAAATAAGGAAAAGACTTAAATATTCATTATATACTTGCTTATAAATTTATGTCTCATCAGACCAAATACATTTTATTAAATGATATAAATTTAGCCAAATGATCTGATAATAAACCAGGCATTTAAAAAAAAATAATAAAAT